CTATGTCTGATTGAAATTTAATTTGTTTCCCGTAAACAACCGTTGCTAAACCATCAATATATCATTGAGCATCATTTCTAAATAAGTTTCCAGTCATTTATCTTACTTCAAACCTCATTTACGTTGCAAAGTGATTGCGAGAATTCGTCCATGTCGAAAGTATTGTTTTGCTTTTGGAGGAAAACGCGTCATGAGATGTTTAAGGCATCCAGTATAAATTATCTCATTTCTATAAATACAGAATCCGATTGAATCTATCGATGGATCAGTTTTTAAAACTGTCATAACAATTTGTGTCCAAATTACTTATTTTAATGGAAATTACAGTGTGCCGGTAACGTAATAATTTTTTTTTGAAAAATTCTTGGACACCAATAAATTCGTTCCACTGGTTCAATTTTCTAATAAATACCTTATGTACATTAACCGAAATTAGTGTTTATTAAAATACTGATCGACCCAGATAGTTTTTTTTTGTTTTGAAACTTTTAAAAATAAAAATCTACGTGCTACAGCGATCTCTTTCTTACAAAAAACTGATTGACTTTTTATTGCCTTGTATCCATTGTCTTAAAGTTAGTACTTTAAGATCTTTGTCCCTGTTGGGATGATTTTTTTTAATTTTCATAATACTTTCTGGTAACTCTAAGCTACAATAATAAATAATTTTTTAGGCATCAAATTCAATGTGTTTGTTTCCAAAAAAGTTACAAAGTATAAATGAGAGAACTGTTGCTTAATATTTTCTAAGTTACTCTTTAAATTAACTTTATAGCAAATGGAACAAATCAAAGGCAACGTACTTGAATTTTGTATCTTACAAAATGCGATTTTAATATGGCAATTAATTTTAACTAATCAATGTAAGTACGATTGTTTATATTAGATGTAAAAAAGAAAAATTATATAATTATATATAATTAATTATATAACCATCTATCTATGTCCTAAATACAGCTTTTTTACTATAACACACTAAAACTACAACTCTATTATAGTCTTTCTAAAGTCAGTTGAACTTGCAAAAAAACGACTGACAATAAAATTTAATGAGTTTCATGGGCGTCCCTAAAAATGTTTTCTGCTAAAGGAAAAAAAATTAATATATCTAATATGTAGAAAGTTTGTATTATACAGGGTGTTAAAAAAAGAGTGTAAAATATTTAAGGAGGTAATAGTATGAACCAAAATAGCCAGAAAAGTCTCAATAAACATGGGTCCGCAAAGTAACGGTTGCGGAGATATGGAGTGTTTTATGTTTTTTAGCCCCTTTTTTATTTTGAAAAAACGTTGTGTATTTTCTTATAACAGTTGGTTGATGTTTAGTGAAATAAACAGTACGTATTTGACAGTTGTTCTCAGTGCACCAGTTTTCTTTCGCTATGGCTGGTTACTCTAACGCAGAATTAACAGACATGCATTTCATGTATGGTCGTGCTAATGGGAACGCCACCNTCCGCTATTGCGTCAAAAAAGTGACTAGTGCACAAATACTGCCATGGAAAATTTAATTCATAAACGTTAAAGCATTTTAGGGTTATTGAAAATATTTAAAATTTGGCAAGTTTGAAGTCCTTTCGTGGATGAACGAGGCAACTTTGGAGAGATATTTTAGTTAAATCGTCTTCGACTTCAACAATTTGTGTCGCTTCCTTGTACCTAATTGTGTGCTACCTTAGATTTACCTTATTGGATAGTAGTAGAAAGTAGAAGTTATAATTTTCTTCAAAATCGAATGTGAAAGACAGTTTTTAATCAATTAACAACACAAACTGAAGGTAAAACCTTGATAATTTGATAATTTGTACCAATTTAAGATTTGAGCTGCCTTATCAATGAGGTCGGGAAATCTTGTAGCAAAGGTTTAGGATATTTCTAACAGCAACTCCTTTATAAAGTGTAAAATGGAAAATAGGCCTGGCACAAGTTAGGTATCCGCAAAATTATGTTACGTGCCTGAAGTTATTAAAAAATTAAAGTAAAAAGTTGGTTTTTATCTAATTTTTTTAGTTTACTAAAATTGTCTTGCATTGTGTTTAGATGAAAATAATTTATGCTATGTAATTTATTACATTTACCTAACAGATTTTTTTGTACAAGTGGTATTTTTTGTGTCAAAATGATAAGATCCACTTCTTATTTGTGGAAGGGCGAAATGGGCGGTGACTATTAGACGCCTTCATTATAGCCATCTTTCTCTATCGCACGGATTTCTATGACTTACTTTATCCCGCTCACGTAACGGCCGATGAACCATGGGGACTTTCCGACCCTGTATATAATGTTCTTATAATACCGTATACAGGGTATTTGGAAAAATTGGCACAAAATTTAAGGGGGTGAAAGTAGAGCCAACAATAGTAAAAAAAGTTCCTATAAACATTGGCCCTCCAAAGAGGTCTTATTATTTCTTTTTGATTAAGATAACGGAATGAAAATTCTAAGTAATACACGCTTTGCTACTCAGTGATCTCAAATCTTAAGTATGTGTTTCAGATCTCAATTTTATTTTATCACATAAATATGTAGGTTTGTTATTCTTTAAAATGTTGAGTATAAAACAGGCAAAATGAATAAGTTTCCTCTCAGAAATGCGCAACAAATTGAAGGAACGTAAATATGGAGTTATGTGACTAAACTGGGGACATTCGTAATAAAACGGACACAACAATTTTGTATTTTTTGCAAACGGTGTTTATTTTCTTGAAAAAGGCAGGGGTCAGCATAATTCAGATGAGATAAGACTAAAGATTCGGCAAGTAAAATTTTAATCTGAGGATTTAGATACTTTTTAAAGCATTGCAACTGTTTTAATGATATGATAGAAAAGCTTTTCTACAGATAACGGTTACATGATTCGAAAAAGTCAACGACGAATCAAAAGTCAGCCCAAGATTTTTAACAACATTGACTGCAGGAATATTTTCATTGTTAATTAAAACGGGAAAGTTATCCAGACCTCGCAATTGAGTTAATATTCCAAATAGAATGTTTTGACTTTTATTAGTATTAACTAATAAAGTATTTTTTATTTTCCAGTCATGAATTAGTTGTAAGTCATTATTAATAACTGATGTGCCAATATTTAAATTAGAAGGCTTAAAACTATAAAGGAGTTGTAAATCGTCAGAGTACATATTTAGTTTACAATTCAAAGGAATTCTCGACAAATGTGCTGTAAACATGTTAAACAAAAGTGGTCCTAATATAGATCCCTGAGGAACACCAGAACCAACTGATCTATAAGGTGATGTTAGTATCGAGGAATCTGTATTTAATCTAGTATATTGTTCTCTACCGTGAAAGTAATTAAAAAAACAGCACTATATATTGCTAGAAATACCTACCATAATAATGAAGTATAGCAATAAGGCAATTGATGTCAATTGAGTCAAATGTCTTAGTCATATCCAGTAAAGTTAGAGACGAAATCAGAGCATTGTCGATAGCTGTCAAAATGTCATCAGTTACATTAGCCAATAAAGCTGAAGAACTAATCCCTTTCTGAAAACCTGAGAGGAACAGACAGCATACTGATTGGACGCAGATCTTTCAACGTTTTTGGTGATGGTCTAATACAAACATTCCATTGTTCCGGTAACTGACCAATCTCTAATGAAAAATTTATTATGTGTGTAAGTGGGGCCGATGCCCATTTAACCGACACTTGAAGCATTTTGACAGAAATACCATCTGAACCCATTGTATGAGATTTTTGTTTCATAATAAAATATTGAATTTTATTAATATCTGAAGCTGTGTATGTAAAATGTAAATTGTTTTTATATTTAGAATTATGAAGGTAAGAGATGTAATCTTGGTTAACATTTAAATTAGGCGTAGAATCAGTGAGGTAATTATTAATGAGAGTAGCATTGCAGGTCTCATCAGGAAGATTTTCATTTAGTCTATCACTTACAACGCCCCACGATTTTAATTTTGACCATAACTGTTTTAAGTCATTTTTAATTCTATTTACATTGTAGGAATAAAAAGCAGCGCGTTCTCGCTTTACAGCATTACCGTAATAATTACGAATGCCACAAAAAAAATTTCTATGTGCAGCATATCTACTTTTTTTAATCTTAGCCAAGCCTTATTTTTAAGTTTTCTAATCACTAAACCATGGTTCTCTTTTTTTGAAGTTTTAAAAGTAACTTCTTTAATGGAGTATGTCTGTCGAAAAGGCTCGTAATAGATTCATTAAAAAAATTACTTTCAATCAAAGAATTAATATTATAGATAGCTTTCCAATTAAAATTACGGTAACATCGATATTCCTTTACAAGAGGTTTAGACACGTTACATGTTAGTGCAGTATCACAAGATGTTACATTATGATCTGAGAAACAAATATCTAATACTTCAACGTTTTTAATACACAAATCAGTTAGAAATAATTAAGTCAAGTAAAGATTCAGTATCAGCAGTCACTCTAGTGGGATCAGAGACGTATTGTTTACAGTCATAACTAAATAACAAATCATTGAGGAATACAGAATCAGGCCCAAATCATCAGCATTAAAAAGCACTGAACTTTGACGCAGTCCAGATAGAAACGATTTTTGTTGTATGCAAAGCCGCTATAATGTACGAATTGACACCGATCACGCATATAAGATTTAAAAAAATTTATTGTAGATGTGAAAGCAAAATAAAATAGGTCCATTTGAACGCTGTGAAATAATAAGATGGTGTGGTGGAAACTTTACTGGAAATAGATGAGGGTGTCAAAAAATTTACCAGTTATCTAAAATCGTGTTTGTCGTCAACAATATCTCGTTTCACTTTACCTCGTAGTTACTCAAATTGTTCCTACACTTCTATACAACCATTTGATCAATATATTTTGTGTGGTGCTTTTATGAATTCCAGGTTATATTCACAAATAAAACTGGATAACAATTTATTTTATAATTTCATTTCGCATAATTTGTTATTTTCCCCATACTTACCAGCTTTGTTATTTTTCGGCAACTGATTTACGGTTTCGCTTTCAGGCAAGCACTTTGAATAAGGGAAAAAGTCTGTACTTCAACTTTGTAAACAATGGAACCGTGCTAACTGTCGAGGGTGGAGGTGTCACCGCTACTGTAATCCAGCCAGACTTGGCGGCCACAAACGGTATCATTCACGTCATAGACCGTGTTCTGGGGATACCATATAATACAGTTTATGATAAATTAAAGGCCGACCCTACGCTCAGGTAATTGTAAATATAGAATACAAAATATGTAGGAAATTATGAGATATAAGAAATCCCATGTGTTGATTTTATACCGATGCATTTAAAGAATATTGCTTATATTAAAAGAAGATAGAAGAATAAATTTTAGGGATATTCTTAGCTAGGTTCATTTCATACGAAACTTGATATTTAGAAATTTCATTATTTTGATAATAAGAAATTTACCTTTGGTGATTTTCGAGATATAAATCTCTAAAAAAAAAGAGACGAAGGAAAGGACAAATTCTTTATAATTTAATATAATGAAAATTTTATTAGAAATGAATTAACTTTAATCTTATTGTTTATGTTTTTAAGAATACATAATATAAATTATACCGAGGTATATTGTGACCTACAAGACAACCTCAAAGGGAAGATATGATCCTATTGAAAATGTGGAACATGAAAATTCACCTAGAAGGGGATTTATTTCAGATAAGTAAAATGATTTGGCAATAACCCTAGTTGTTGGGATTATCCGGAACTCATTTGTTTCATATATGTAAACTCTTAGATTTTCTGTTATAAATAAATTATTCCGTAAAATAATGTTTCTATCTTGACCACTGTTACTCTGGACATACTGTATGAAAAGTAAAAGGGAAACAGATAGGCAAAAATAAACAAGTATTAGTAGGTATACCACTACGTCACGCTAACGTGTCGCAAAATTATGTTTTCGCATTCAAAGCTAGTATAATTAAGTATATAAAGCTAGTATATAAAGTATAATTTTTTGTGAACACATTTTTACTTAGAGCGAAATATTTCCCTGATTCTTTTAGAGGAAGGATTTGTTTAATTAATTTGGATCATAGGAGCGAAATATCTAAATAAACAGAAATAAATAATACTTGTATACATCCTACTAATATAATTTTTCTCCGTCTGCTTTTTTTTAGATTTGATTCAGAATTTTGTTCATATAATTCAGAAGACAGATTTTCTTAGCTGAATATCAGCTTCTTAAAGCAAAAAATGATGTAATATTCCAACACTTATTTTATGGTCGTACTTAGTCAAAACCTTATAATTTTGTCATTAAATTTTATAGGAATTTTTGAATTATAGGATTTATACGATTTTATAATCCCTCTTACAATTTATTGAATATTGCATTTTAAGTTGTACTCCTTTTGTACCACAGCATCATTTGAAAAGTTTTGTTCGATGAATACACAAATTATAAAATTTCATTATGTACTATCATAGAAGAAATATTTTAACTATGTATTTTATATCATGTGCAATAAAAGGCTTTCAGATAAGTTTTGTTGTAAAGCATGATATGATTTAAAACGTGACTGCTTTAAAAATTGTCGGATGACTTTTGTTTGTGAACTTCTATTTGCAAAGCGTACATCTGAACACGTATGTTATGCAAGGAATTGAAATTATAAAAATACGAATCCCTTACATACTCAACATATTTTCTAAACATATATTTCTGTATATGCATATATTTTTGTGGTCCAATGTCCGTGATATATTTTCGTCCTTCCTACGTTCGTTTATAAAAGCAGTTACTGCTTTTTAAACTAAAATCCGTTACGGTGGATTAGAGTTAGATGAAATCTACGGTATAAAACTAAATGATTTAGGTTTTTATAAAATTCGCAAAATGTACATGTAAGAGGGCGTATTTAAAAAAATTATATCTCCGTAAATATTTGTAATTTTAAAAAATAACTTTCTATGGAGTCATTTACATCGCGAATTATACCCCGTGTTACAATAAATGTACATACTTAAAGTTCTCCCTACATATCCAAGACATTACTAACACCAAATGTTTTATTCCCAGCAATACCTTTTCTTTGGGAAACCTACAAGGATTCAATAAAATATTAAACGACACAAGCAAGAAATTCACATATTTCGTACCACGGAACAAGGCTTGGGCTGATGCGAAAGTTAAACTTCCTTCTGCTATAAAGAAACTGTTCATGGGAGAATATGCCTTCCACGTAAGTACTCTTTTCATTTTTATTTAACTGTAAAATATTGTATATACTTGTTGTGAAAGAAGTTGCCAAGTTAAAACTGAAAAATACTGAAGGGAAAAGCCCGAGTTCTTTCAGTTGAAAAATTTAAAAATATTATGTACAATGTGTTAATATGGGGTATATAAAGGGCGTTCCAAAAGAAAGGCAGGATTTAATATGAGGAAAACAGATTTTATCAATTAAAAAGTTTTTACATGTTTTTAAATGATAGACATTGCCATTAAAGAGGATATCGGACGGATGTCCTTCGCGACTCATTTGCATACTAGACTTCTTTTAAGAAAATTCTGTATCACGCTTTCACATGCCTACGGCTGAATTTCGTTGATAACTCTCCGAATTTCTGTTTTAAATTCAGGTATGGTATTCATTTGAGCAGAATACACTTTGGACTTTACGAATCTCCACAGAAAAAAGTCGCATGGGGTAAGATCGCATGATCTAGGTGGCCAATTCACTTCACTGTTACGTGAGATGAGCAGTCCATTAAATTTCTGCCGTAACAAGTGGATCGTTTCACGTGCCGTGTAGCACGTGGCGCCATTGTGCTGGAACCACAAGTGATCCAAATCCACGCCATCCAAATGAGGGCACAATAAAGTTCAATAGCATCTCTCGATATCGTTCTCCATTGACAGTAACTGCCTCCCTCGTTTTCAAAAACGAATGCACCAAACACCCCACCAACGTAAAATCCACACCACACTGTCACTCTTTGAATGACCCGAGGATTGTCTCTGCTCTAAATTCGACAATTTTGCTTGTTCAGATACCTACTAAGACCGAAATGTGCCTCGTTACTAAAGATGATTTTCTTAGCAAAATCACCAACCAGTTGTTGATTCTCCGGCATCCAATCAATGAATGTCCGCTGGCTTCAATGGTCGTCTGGCTGCAGATGAATGCAGATGATGCAGATCTGTTAAAATCTGCTGCGGATTGAAGTGTTTAATTGCAGTGACTGACGGTGCACTGAGATTACAGGAATTTCCGCCACACTATCACGCACGGTAGCAATATTTTCGGCTGCATAGCCAGTACGAGTCCGACCTGTTTCTTTCCTTTGTCTGTAACCGAATCTATTGGTTTAAATTTGTTGTTTCATTCGAGGCGTTCCTTATACCGAAAATTCCACGTAATTTGCACACAGTCTCAGCTACACACTCTCCATACTTATAATTTACTCGCTTATCCGTCGTATAGCCCTCCACTTTGTCTAACCGCAACGTGTTTACTACAACATGTAATATTATTTTTTTACTAAATATCGTCAGTGTTCTTTGAAAATTTAATAAGAATTATACACAGACTATTTCAAAGATCTTACGTCAGAAGTTTTACTGAAATGAAGCATAATATTTGGCCAAATACCTAGGAAATATCAGGCAACTCTTTTCAAATTAAATATTATATATTGCGTTTTAAAACATCTGCTACACACTGGAATCCCATTCCTTATGCATTTGTAGCAAATTAGTGTAAAATTCGCGCTGTCACTAACACATTTTTGCATCGCGACACTGACAGCTCCTCGCAATATTCTCGGTATACAAGAGTGTAGAAGCACTAACAATTGCATTCTTTTCAGCACTGCGCTGGAACTGGAACTAGAAATAACATGTCATTTTAAATTATTTCCAGCCATGCACTTTGGCAATAGAATATTTAAGCGAATATGTAAAATCTACACGAACCGAGAACGTAAATAATACCTTTTTGGTATACAAAGTTCACATTTACTTTCATTTTAAGTTACAATATTAATATTACTTAATAGTTATTAAATAATAACTACATACATCGTTATTTCCCAAATGCGTAGTAAATATGCGTTTCTAATATCACATATATAAGAAAAAACCGACTTTATCATACTCATCTCCATTTTTGTTTGTTAGAGGACATTAGAAGAAGAAGAACATAAAATATGTTTTGAAATTATAAATTGCAAAATATCCACTAAGGGATGGCGGTATTTTTGGCGTATAAATACAACTACTTCGGTTACAATATGTCAAAAATTGACTTTTGTGGAGAGGTAATAGTAAACCAAATTTAATTTATAAAATATAAATGTTTGTAACTTTAACGCTCTCTAACGCCTGAACGATGAAATTTTAGACAGAAGTTTAATTATTTCGAGCTAAAAAATCTGTGATTGTGGTATTGGGACAACCTAGGTATATTAATAGACTATACGTATATTAATAAAATAAAAATATTCCATAATTTCTTATAGAAATAAATATACGAGGTATGTTCAGAAAATAAAACAACTTTATTTTTTTAAACTTTAGTATTAATTTTATATGTTATTGAAATAAGAAAAAATCTCAAGGAGCCAGGTCTGGTGAGTAAGGAGTATGAAGGAGCACAATAATATGATTTTTGGTACAAAACTAACGAATTGGTAGAGCTGAACGTGCGGACGCAATGTCATGGCACAGTATAGAAAACAGTAAATTCACTCCCCCTCTTTTGTGCACCACAACCCCACTGCTCTAAAAGTCCAGTAAAGGGACGCGTGATATATGCGCAACAGCAAGCCCAGCCCCTAGTCCACCAACAAGCCCAGCTTAACTTTCAGCTTTTGATGTTCCCCTACTTGCGCGTGGTATCTGCGCAGTCACTTAAAGCGACATAAAAAATTAAACTAGGGTCCATTTTTTATAAATAGGTTATATAGGCAGTGAATTTACTGTTTTCTATACTGTGGTCATGGTGCAAGAACCATAAGTTGTTTCGCCACAACCTTGGTCTCTTTTTGCCGATTTTTTCACGTAACCGTTGTATATCGCCTTGATAGTACCTACACAATTTCACTGTTTCACCTTGAGGCCAGAATTCAAAATGCACATTTCCATTAAAGTCGAAAAAAATCAGTGAGCTTCACTTTGACATTGGATCGAGACTGGCGTGCTTTCTTTTAGCTCAATGTCGTAGACGTAAATCCAGCTTCCATCTCCCGTTATGATCCCTTGAATGAATGTTTCATCGTCATTCCTGTTGTTCGGTCATCAAACGAGGAACAAATTTTGCAGTAACTCAATTGACCTCTTCTGAAATTTCTGTTGACATTCAATCGGCGATTTGCACGCACCAGATCTTTGACTGTCTGAACGTGGGAGCCATCAATTGAAGTCGAAGGCCTTCCTGGTAGAGGATCATCCTCAATTGACTGACGACCACTTTTAAATCGTGAAAACCATTCGTAATATTACATACAACCCAGAGCATCACCTCTGTAAGCTTGTTTCAGAAGTTGAAAAGTTTCCGTGAAAGTTTTCCCCAGTTTCACGCAAAATTCGTTGTTACAGAAAATCGCACATTTGAAAAATCATTACTTAAACACATTACATACACCTAAATAACAATATCACGAAGACTAAATGAGATATCAACAATCCAAGAACATATAGAGGAGGTTATGCGCAATGCAATGCTGTCAACTGCTTATCACTAAATATCTCCATCTCCATGTTCGGTTATTTTCAGAACAGACTTCGTAGGATGTAAAAATTCTACCACATGATCTCTTTGTTCTTCAGATTTGAAGGCATTAGGTTTTTAGGAACTATTTAAAGGATGTATTTTATTCTACAACTAGCTAGATTTTATTTACATAAATTCTTGTCTGTTCTTGACGTAGCAATTTATTTTATTTATTTGATATCCCTTGATATTCCTATTACCATTTCGTAATAAGTATAAAATAATATCCTTGCAAGTGAACTACTTATCATAAAAAAAGGCAGCATATAGGTAATGTAGTAAATAAGATGCGATCTTTTGCTTATGAATAACAGGGCGAAATAGATTCAAAATCTTCCGTATCTATACGGTAGTGAAAATTTAAAGTCATAAAAAGCGTAGTTTAATGGCCTCATTAGATAAAAAAAAAGTGATGAAAAATTATTTCTTAGTTTCTGAGTTATTGTCAAAAACATATACATAATTAAATTTGTTTTTTACTTCAACACACTGTAACTTAAGACTATTAATAGAAAGATATTGCACATGGAAATAACGTAATGCAGTATTAAGGTTATTTTTACATTTAATGTATGTAATGTACGATAAAATCATAAACTTCAAGTGAAACTATTTTTATTAGTCTTTCCAAAACAAAATATTATGTTTATGTGTACAAAAAAAAGTCCTAAACTCTAAGCATAAACATTGAACGTTATCTTTAACAATACGCCATTTTCTCGTTATCCAGTTATTTCTTCTTCCGCTGCCTATAAAGTTACACGCGTCGTTTCGTCTACGGAAAATATAACGAGACCCCGCATCCAAGAAAAAAATAGAAATGCCAGTTCAGTGACCTTTCGTAATGCAAATCCTGCCATTTATAAGGCGAATTTCTTCTTACAGGCCACCAGCACCCTGGAACGTCATCTTGTTATATCCGACTTGGTCTACACAATGGAGAGGATCAAACAATTGACGAACGAGACAGACTCTTTCGGCCGGAGACGAGATGTTGAACTGCCTGCCATGAGGGGATCACTGAAACTCTACGTCAACGAAGTAAAAGACAAAAGTAAGTAGATCTTATCTATTTATTCGAAATAAAATTCGTGACAACAAACATGTGGCAAGTGTTGCTCCTTAGGTCCTATATCATTCTTATACACTGACTGATTAAACGTTTAGAATAAGATGATAAGAATAAAGTTGATTTTAGGCACGAGTGTTGTAATCAAAATATATTTTCAAAGCAGACATATACAGGGTGTTTTACAAGCTCTATGACAAACTTTGACAGGTGGTAGCTGGTTTAATTTCAAACATCTTTTCTTATACGAACCTAGGCCCAATTCGTTTTTGTTTAGAAGTTTATTTTTTAAAATGTTCGTAACTTCTAAACAAAAATGAATCGAAAAAATGTCACAGATTGTCATAGAGTTTGTAGGACACTTTGTATATTGTTAATAAAATAAAAAATAGATGTATTAATACATATTAATCTAAAAAAAACTATAAGCAAAAGTTGACAAAAATACTTTCATTTTTAATTGAGGGCTAATTGTAAAGAATTGCTTGTTAGATAGGTTTTGAAAAAGCACATTGAAGGCATTGCGCCATTCCCTTTGTAATTGAAAGCCAAGGCCAACTATGACTATTTCTTTAGTGAAAAAATTAAAAAGCATTACTAGGTATAGATTATCTAAATCATCTAGAGAAAAAATGTTAATGGACTCGTATTCAGGGTAACTCAAAATATAAATATAAAGTAAAGTATTCAAATAAGAACAATTTTTTTTACTGTCTACAAATAATAGTAGAAATTGATATAAAGGGTGGAATATATCATTATTTAAAATTTACAAATAAAACGATTAAATTGGGCGAAAAGTGAAAAAGGGTTATACCTAAAAAAGATATGCGTTTGTTTAACTTTGTTTTTGAATATGGACAACAAATTACTATTACCTAGGTGAGGGCTAAACATACAAAAATTCGTATTTTTCAAATGCACATCATTTCTATTCTGACCCGTAAGTGAAGCAACAATTTTTGTTCACTCTGCTTGATTGAAGCAAGTTGAATTGATGAAGCCAAACAAAATTTATATCTCTCAGACTGTTTATCCGCCCTCTAAAAAAACCCCCAGTCCAAAATAAAAAATCTACCTCATCATCATTTTCTCTACAGTTTAGTCACTAGAATCAATTAGTTCCATTTTAACATCGGATTATTCATCGCCAGACGAACTCAACAGTCGGTTTTGGACTGAAATTTTCGAAATTACATCGAGATAATAGATCCTCTTGATGGCAATTGTTGATGAAATTATTCCTAATAATTCTCGGAGAACCAGACCATGTGTACGGCGGTACACATGGGGTCAAGTTTCTGCCACGTCCACGCCGTTGGCCCTGAGTAAAGCTAATTGTAAGTGCAGATTGGGCCATATTGAGTGACTTTCAGCTCTTCGAAATCGTGCATGGCGAAGGTCTGGCCCATAGGGACTCTTGATCTACATCATATCACCTACTGACCTCACCTCATATCACCTACTGTGATCCCACAGTTTCAAGCAATTTGACGAAAAGTCTTTTTCCATTGGTTTTGTGCGGGGTCGTTTTTGACGCTAGTAAAGCCAACGTAACATGCTAAAAACGCATAAATGTCATAGTCTGGTTGGTACTGATATGGTTCATGTCCACAATAAAATAAATTGGAACATAAGTTAGATGACAAATTCGTTGATAAACAAACACTAGTTCTGAATTGTATGAATTATCGATAAAATGGCGAATGCGCCAGTTATTGCTTTTTTCCCGTTGTATAAAGAAATCGGCCAGCGCGTACCTATTTGTTTATACGTTTGACAAAATTTTTATGGAATAAGCTAAATTTCAATATAAACTTATAAATGTCTGATTCGCATTTATACCAAAAAAACTACTAAAAAACATTATAATTAATATTTCTGGAATTTCAAAGAAATAGGTACATGAAACAAGTGACTGAAATTTAAGACCTAAAATAATTTCTTTTTCAATAATAACCGTATATTGTTTGTTTAGAATATGCCAGTGCTAGAGCAAGAGATATGTTAAAGATGGTTTATTTAAAAAATGCAGTTCCGTTTTTATAGTGCTATGAAATCAACTTTATCTTACTACACTGGATTACCATGAAATACAAAATAATTAAAATACGTATACATATAAGCTTAGTTCAGTATTTTGCATAAAAACTAGGCATTTTGCAAAAAAACTAGGTATTCTGCCAATTGCTGGTGTTTGTCCCCTTTTAATCTATAATGTAAAATGTGAGGGACAATAAAATTTAAATTATAAATATGAATTATGTGGCAAAGAAAAGAAAGAAATCATGCTGACAGACCCTTTGAGGCACATTCATAGTTATTCAGCTTGGTTTGTTGACATTTTGCTTGTTTTCTTGGTCAGACCTAATTTTAATTGTGCAGTAGCTTAATTTGTGGAATTTTTACGATTATTATTTGTTTGTATTTAATTGTTATGATTTCATTGCAAAAATTGACCGAGTTAATTTTCCTAGATATTTTGTAGGTAAGCTCATTTTTTCATTAAATATACTAAAATATACTACACGTAAATTTTGATCAAGAATATATTTATTTGCTTATATTTCTTACTCCAGGACCAAACAAGAAGGCTCAAAATTAGGGAAGGTTTCATCATACACAAAAGTTATAAAAGACATCAAAACTAATTTCTATAGCCATTATCTGTGTTTTATTTACCTGAGATTTCGGTTAACATCAACTGTTTTGAATGCTGATTGTTCAATTAGGCGTGATTAATTAAAAGATCTCAGGTAAATAGTAAACTAGGGGTTTTGACAACAACGGATCAGTGTTGCACTTTTGTGAACGAGCCTGTTTTTGTCAGCCTATGCGTTAACCGCGGCCAACAATTAGCCTTTACGGACAGCTAGGCTAGCTTCGAACATGCTTGTGCATTTCTTATTGACGTAAGCCAGAGATAAGTTTATTAGAATCAATTTAGGTACTTTTAACATAATTATTCAGTTAATATATTTTTAATAATAATCAAGAAATGTACGCGTACGAGGAGTTTGGTTGTGGAATATATAGGAGACACATTGTGCAAACTGGGCAAAAATGTTTAGCAGCTGTCTCTAGATGCAAATCGTCCAACGAGCTGGAGTCCATAAAAATGCAGATGTTGGCACATTAAATGTTTCATCGGTCTTAATAATTTATACAGCATATAAATAGTAATATTTCTCGTCAGGAAAGGGGTTCGTACTGCATTTTAATGTGACCTCAATGAAATAATATTTTTAGAGAGTAGCACCTTCAACCAGTCTGGATCTCTCCATAGAAGGTTTGAAAAAGAGGGATCATATTAAAATAATAACGTTGTGTAATTTTGTTTTTGTTATCTACTTCATATAGATAATTGCCATTTAGGAATTTATAAATGAAAATGCCGGTACGTTACAAACTAATCATTTTGCAAAATGCCAGTTTAATTATTTTGGAAGTATTTGACTATACCACATTTTTAAACAAGCATTTATTATTCAAACTAAAAATATATATTATATTTTGAGGCTAAGATAGAAAATACATTATTATTATTATTATTATTTATCATTATTTTTTGTTATTTAGATAATCCTTCATCAAATACAAGTAAGTGTCATCATGAAACTACGATTTTCTATTATACGGCTTGATCTTTGCTACGATTTACGAAATTAAAGCAGCACTATTGCTAACATTATTATATTGTTCACTTTTGGTTAAATTACCAAAGAAGTAACAATTTTTCTGCTAATGAATACTCGTATTTACCAAAGTGATATTTTATATGGAACACCTACTACATTTTATATCATTTGAATAGAATATATTTATTTATCATTACAATTAATGATAAGATATTGTTTTCTTTTCCTTTTATCCTATATCAATTTGCCAAAAAAATGCTATTTCTTTAGTAATGTAGATGATTTTATATCTCCATTTAATATCTCGTTGCAGCTCTATGGCTGACTGAAACAGGCACTATTTAGACTTCATTGATTTTTAACAAAGAAGTTCATATAAACAAAATATCCAATATACAGGTACAGGATTTTTTGAAATTCTCATTTAAAATTTTCATTATGTGTTCTAGATACATCCAGGCTGTACTATTTGGTTATAATATTAGTATGTATTTAAGAGATATCTAGGTAATTAAAAAATGTATCCATATGACATGTAAAGAGAATGGTTAAATTCAAAAGTCCTTACAAAAGAAAAAAAAAGGCATAACGTTAAAGATTTTACTGTTTATAATATTTAAATGTGTTATAAATCCATAATCAGTAAAATAATAGAATTTGAATTATTCTTGAAATATTATTTCATCACAGCATTAAAAAAAACTAAAATATTGATAAAGTAATCATGTGGAGAATATCTCTTCCTATTGAAACAAAGCAGTATATACAAGGTGTCCTTAATTTAGCCTGCAATATTTTACCAGCTCATTAAACAATTAAAATACAGAAATTACAGAAAGGCAGAAAAAGCCGATAGTCAAACCCTGGAAGTAGTTTTATCTAAATATCTTTGAAACTGTTCGAGATCAAACAGTGGAAAAATCCATGTACAAAAGGAGCAAAATTTACCAAAGCCTCCCCACAGTTTGGGATGCTTCCTATTAAAATTAGAAATTATTGTTTGAGTTACAGATTCAAAAGCTAATTTCCAGTTTTAAATTGCATTGCATTACATCGATAGGTTTCGGAGATATTTAGAAAACAAATAAGTTCAGGGGTTAGCTTTTAGAGGCATGTGTTCTTATAAACTTTTTCTCTTATTTTTGCTTAGTCGTAGGGAAAAATTATTGCGCGAAACTGGAGAACTGAAATTGGGAAATACATAAATTGGGATAAAGTAGTAATGAATTTACCCAAATTATCGTGCTTTGATCAAGTCGTATGCAAAGAAAATCAACTTTACAGCACAAATACACAAACAGCAAATTTTCACAAAAACCTCAAATTCGGCTTCCAGTGTATAATATTTCAACAACATACAAATATTAAGTATTATTTTTATTTCTTTATAAACGTAGGTACAGGGTGATTCACTATATTTTGACCCCCCTTTAACTTTTTTGTTTTAAGAGTTATAAAAAAATATGAAATAAAAAAGTTGCTCGAGTTTTTATGAATTTTTTGAAAATGATAGCAGAAAAACAAATGAAGTCCAAACAAAATGACCGCGGATGTTAACTTTGTTAAGTTAAATGGAACACCCTGTATATTTTTACATATTTGGATAGAACGTTCCCTGTGGAGCATAGTCATATCACGTTTGTTGGATCTATCTCTAACAATAAGGGAGATACTATTAAAAAACGAAAAGAAGGTGTTTTATTAAGAAAATAATACATCTTGTAATTGTTAGACCTCTTTCAGACATTTCCGCCTTTTTTCCAATTACGTAAGGATCTACAGATTTAGTTATCATATATTTTGATATACGGTCCAAAATGCGTATAGGTAATGTAACGAAATCTCACTAATTAGGTCGTGAGAGGTCTAATTACTCATGGACATTATACAGGGTGATTCAGAACTTATCCAAAAAAAAATTCTGGATGTACAAGGGACCCTTACAAATACAATTTTGTACAGAAAAAATCAAAAAGGTCAGTTCGAAATTGATTTAAAAATACACTGCACGGCACTGGAAACTGGTCCACTGTAAACCCTGACCTCGCACAATGCGACCGGTATGGCGGCGTGATAAAAACGGACAAAAACTTTCGCAAGGAAAGAAATATGTAAATAGAATTTTATCGCACCTATTTTATATCGGCAAATTCAAATGCTTTTGCCTTTATTAATTATTAATAAAATTAATTTGTGTTTTTAAATAATAAAATCATTTGACATACCCGATGCTGCAACAGCAATTGTTCAAAATTTTATCCACTCACGTGTAAACACATTTGGGTCCGTCTTACTCACTTTCTACGAACTAACACAAATGATGTCTTGCTTCACCATAACACAAATACTTCACCATAATACAAATGTTGTCTTGCTTCACCATAAATTAAAACGATATCCATCAACTCTGAGTTGCTATACACGCAAGCCATTTTTGACACTAACTACTAAAAAACTGAGCTAACGGGTAAAAACTACCGCAACGATGGGTTTCAGTATTAGGAGTTACATGGCTCTCAACGCGTATTGCTAATGACGCTAGAGACTACAGTTGTCCAGCTATGTAGTGGTTTAATGTGCTATAACTTCAATAATTTTTTTCTCAGAAACTATAAGGATTTTACAATTTTTTTTTTTACAATATTGACTCCATTTCTCATGCCGCATCTGTTCCCAAATTTTTTTGGATAAGTTGTGAATCACCCTGTATAGTAGGTTGTGACAGTGACAGGTAGTAATGTCTTGACAACATTGTTGTTGATTGACAATATGTATTATTATTTAATTAAAATAGGATACATAGAAGTAGAAAATTATTTAGAATTAAAATAGAGTATGGAGAATAATTTTGCTCTATTTTAATTCCTATAATATTTCAACTTTCTACTTCTGTGTAACCCATTTTAACTAAATAATAATACAAACTGTCAAACAATAACAATGTTGTCACGACATTACCTGTCACTGTCCCGGCCTACCATATAACATTGTCCATGAGACATCACACACACGGCCTAATTAATGAGATTTAGTTAAAATACCTATACGCATTTTGGACCTTATCAATGTCTGATTTGTCAAAATATATTATAACTAAATCTGTAATCCGTACGTAATTGGAAAAAGACAGAAATGCCTGAAAAAAGTTTAACAATTACAAGTTGTCTTATTTTCTTAATAAAAAAACCTTCTTTTCGTTTTTTAATAGTATCTCGCCTATTGTTAGCGATGGACCCAACAAACCTTATATGATTATGCTCCACAAGGAACATTCTATCCAAATATGTAAAAATATATAGGGTGTTCCATTTAACTTAACAAAGTTGACATCCGCGGTCATTTTGTTTGGACTTCATTTGTTTTTCTGCTATCATTTTCGAAAAATTCATAAAAACTCGTGCAACTTTTATATTTCACATTTTTATATAATTCTCACAACAAAAAAGTTAAAGGGGGGGGTCAAAATATAGTGAATCACCCTGTACCTAATAATAAATCTGATTATACGATTCTGTATAATCTCTTTTTATGGGTACTTATTGTAACTACATCAGTAGAAGAATGGAGCCGACATTGGGGCAAACGGCACTAATACTTATTTAATTGTTAATTGTACTGCTAGATAACTATTACATATACATCACTATAACACTGCACCTGATCGTCCACATTTACACGTTTCACACATATCGATCATTTATACTTTTTTGTTCACGTAGAAAAATGCCACTAATAATAAAATAAATAATACTTAAAAGTCCATGAAAAAGGTACAATGCTCATTCCTCACAATATATCTTCTTTTTTTCTACAAAAATAAAGAGATACGATTGCCTTTAATTCCGCAAGGTGTTCAGATTTGCTTTATTTGGAAACGAATTCGTTATAGTCGCTAACTTTGCGTTAATTTTTCTATTTTTCTATAACTTAAAAGCTACTTTTTTAATGATTTTTTTATAAAAGTTCTTATGTAGAATCCATTGAGCTGTCAACCGCCCCATTTACTATCTTCTTCATAATAAAATATTTGTTTCTTCTTTATTTTTCTATTATTTGAATGTATTCGAATGGATTGTCTCAAAAAATACTTAATATGGGTCAAACTGTACCTATTGATAGAAATCACTAAAATAAGAAAAAAAAATTCACATGTTTATAGGACAGAAACAGAACAGCACTTACAAATCAAAATTTACAGATGTTCCTGGGTGAGTCACGCTGAATTTTACATACTTTTGTCGTAAACAGAACTCATTAAGGTAAATATCGAATGACCATTAAAAAGTGTTTATTCTACTTGTTTATTAATAAGGTCATTTGTAGGTTTAGTCCAAAAATTCTTTTTGAATAAAATGTTGGAACGGTTTGTTCAAATTTTCTATATTTTTGATGAAAGAATATACTGTTAGCTGCCATTCTACTGACATTCTCAAACATACAGAAAGTCCAGGACCGACCCAAAAAAAATACTTAGAAGAGTTCATATCAAAAAATTCGCCCTGTATGCTTTTTTAAATGTAACTAGGAATTTTAAAAGTGGACAAATCGGCAATGAAAGCTATTTATTTGACATTTTTGTCACATTTCTATTTAATTTTTTATAAATAATCAATTTTGACTAAAACTGACAATTCAGCATCAAATAATAAGAGCAATAGGTATTTAACCCCTTATAGCATATATTAATTTGAAGCTTTGGGTAAAAAAAATTTTTTCTTACAAAAATGGAATGTTTTCATTCATAGCAATATATTTTTGTAAATATTTAATTCAGTTACTTTTTAAATTTTAAATTCAAGTGACGTAGGTCAAAAATTGAAAAAAATCAATTTTTTTGCCTTTTGAATGACAAAAGTGGAATGTTCTCAGTCATAGCAATATATGTTTGACATACTTTTCATTATCATCACTTTTTAAATTTTTATTGCCAGTGACAGAAGATCAAAAATTAAAATTAAATTGCAGGGTGAATTTTTTGATAAGAACTTGAAATGAAATTTATTATACCGGACATTGAATTTCTGATTGTTTGAGAATGTTGGTCGAATGCCAGCCAACAATTTATCGTTTCATCAAAAATTTAGTGAATTTGAAAAAACCATTCCAATATAAAATCAATGACTCTCTATAGGTATTAATAATTAAGAGGAGTAGGCACTTTTTAATGGTCGTTTGATACATCCCTTAATGAACTCTGATCACGGTAGAAGTACGTAAAATTCCTCGTAACTCACCCTGTATAACAAAATGACAAAATTAGAATCGTTCACGGGCGTGCAAAATTAATTAAGGGGCCTAGATAAAGTTTTAGCTCATCTTTCTTTTGGTATGACATATTTTTACTTGCAGAACTTCAAAATTTAACTTTTTCACATAAAAAATGTCTATTACGTTTTTTTTAGTTTCGTAATGATTCAAACTTTGCTAGTTGTTTAGATGAAGAAAAAAAATATTATCTGGATTATTTTTATAGGCAGTAATTAAATAAAACGTTTTTTGTATAAATTTTAAAGTTCTGGTTAATTATAGTTTTATCCGTCCCGGAATGAAAAGGATCAAAACTGAGAACTTGTTTTAAATTTACATTTGTTTATTTTTGTGTTTTGAATATATTCACACTGTTTTCAGAAATTTCAACTTGAGCACTGTGTATCTTAGAAACTAATCATCTTGATCCTTGTTTGCGGGAACTTTTTTCTTTTTTTCTAACTAAGGTTCGAAACCGCTGTATTTAAAGTATACGTAATTTACCATTATTCCTCTTTATTCAACTGTAGAGTAATCCTGTTATTAAACTGTAGAATAGGTGTAACTTATCAATTAAAAATAACGTCTGCCATATTCGTAGGTGTTATAAATGGCACATTACTCAGATAAGGTACAGATTGCTGCTATATCATATTGTTTTCTTAATAATCGAAATTTATTTTTCTTACAGCATTTAGTATTATGTGGAATGGAGAAGAAATACCTGTATTCAGACCAAATATAGAATGCACCAATGGAATTATTCATGTCATAGATGCGCCATTCTTAAGGGAAGGAGATATTCGAGTTAGCAGTGGCTGTATTATAATGTTTGCACCAGAGCTATTCATGGTACTGATCGCTAAAATCTTATTTCTTTAATGAAATTGTCATTAATTTAGATATAAATTAATGAATTTGAAGAGCAAATCAATAAGTAACAGGGTTTTTGTAAAGAGTTGTACATTTGTGGATTGGTTTTCTTTTTTGGCAGTAATTTCTGCGACTCTTTATATTAACTTTTGTATCATACATTCTATCACATTTCATACAAAATTTTTCATAATCGAATTATAGGCATATAATAATAATACCTAATACAATACATTCTTTGTGTGAACTACAAAAGATATCTTAAGGGATAAACTCTATTTCTTTTTGTTAGGAATTTTATATTTTCTGTACTAACAAATTTTCTCTTCAATTTATTTTTTGTAAATACTCCTGTCCTCTGGTAAGAAACAATATGATGAATGCGTTTAGAAATTCATATACATATATGAAATAGCTAAGTAAAAGTGTTGATCTCTGGTAAAGTCTATATATTGTCATGATTTTTCTATTTACAAGCTAAATAAACATATATTAAAAGTCTTTTAAATTTATTGCGAAGCAAAAATTAAATCCGCATAAGTAACTTTCATAAACCAAATTGAAGCATTTCAGTTGTTTACAGCTAGGATATAACTATTTACCTTTAATCTAGTGTTTCTACATTCCATAGAACTTCACAAAAGTGAGAGAATTATTAATAATACGTATGTCTATGTCGATTATTATTCTCCTGACTAATTTGATAACTTTCACTTTGCAGTTTGCAGTTAATCATCTCAAACATAAGTTCGGAATTATTTCCCTATTTACTATAAAAACCCTAAATTTATTAAAGTTATTATTAAATCCTACTTTATATTAAATCCTACTTTATATTTTATAACAGTTTGCTTTTAGCTCCCTCATAATTTGTATATACGTGTGATGTGTATAAATGTTTATATTTTTGACAGCAAATATTTATATTTCTTAGAGTAATGTTTAATGTATCTAAATTACCTAGAATTTTTATTGTTCTAATATATGCTTTTGTATCCATAGTTTTAAGAATGGATTTTTTGGGCACTGAAATGCTTCATATTGATATTAAATATACAAAGTACTAAAATCAAATCACTGCAAGAAAATTAAACACATATATATTAAAAATCTAATTGGGTATTGAAAACTATTTTTTAAAGTTTTTAATTTTTCCAGTTTAGTGAAACTTAAAATTAAGTGCAATGTGAACTTTGTATATTTATTATGTGATAACCAAAGAGCTATAAGTCACTTAACACTGTTAAAGGTTAGAATAAAAGACAGATTTATTCTTAGGGTATGTTATATCATAGTCCATTCTATAGATCTTTTATCTTTAAATTGACTGACTGAATCAAAAAATCTATTATCTGTGTTGATATTGATTCAAAAATATTTTTGTTGCAAGCAAACGATTTAGATAAATAAATAATTAATAATGTTGCAATAATATTAAGAATATATGTATAAAAAATGACCGTACCATTTAAATAATATAATGAAACAGTAATAGATGTCTATAAGCTTCATTAGAAACTACATAGCCCTTAATTGTGTGTAAAACATAAATATGCACTGCCAATGTTAATCTAAAAACGTTTCTTATTTATAAACTGGTAATTTTGGATTATCTGAATTTCATGTATGAATATAAAGCCTACTTGAATATATTACAATTAAATTGACAATGGCAATCATATAAGTAACGACTTTTTTTATGTTACATTTGAGTTAATTCTACTATTTTATGAATTATGATTTCTGTAATAATATTTTGTATATATTTCAAGTTTCTACAAATATTTTCATTAAAGCATTCAGTGCTCTCTACAATAAATGTGTTTTATTATCCCTTAAAGCAATGGTTTTGAACTTAAAGAAATATAAATGGATAAGGAGTGAATTGAATATGTTTATCAATGGTCCTCCAGGCAAATGTGTTTTTTTTTCTCCCTATAACAAAGTTAAAATTAAAAGAAATATTTTTTTTGTCGTCGGCATCCACATAAAATGCAACTTTATGAGCCGAGACAGAGGCAGGCAGAACTGATTTTTTCAGTACAAAAATGTACAGTACACTTTGCTTCAAAAGTTGTTTAAGACAACTCGAGGGTGAGCTTATTTAATAAAAACTTCGATAAACCATGCTAGAAAACTAATCGGGCTCTTAGGTGGTTATAATAGAATAAATAAAATTAAAGTCTTACCTAGCACCGTTGAGTGATTAAATGGAAACGATTTCCTCACTTAATGCTAGCACCCAGGCAAAAACTTGGCCTATTATACATATAGTTATAACAGCCGTTCAAAAAACCTAGAGGTTGCTATCACCAGTATGGTTATTAGTCAATTCAATCTGTCACGACCTAATGTTAAATTTATAAAAAAATACCACCAGGAAAAAAAAAAAAGGGGAAAAAAGAAAAAAAATCCAAAAAAAAGGAACTTTCCCGGGAACCAAAAAACGGCAAAGTTACCTAACCTAAAAAATTGATAAAAGTAAAAAACGGTTTTTCGCTAATAAAAATATTAGTTGAACTCCAATCGAATAAAGTTAAATGAAAAAGTTGTAGGTAGCTATTAAAAAAAACTATCGATTCGTATTTTTAAACACATCGATTGCTACATTACTTTTCGAGATATATCTCAAATTAAAGGTTCAAATCTCAAAAGTTTTGAAACTTGTTACTTACTGTTACTGTAGCCCTTGGCAAGAAAAAAAAGAAACCATTTCTAAAATTAAAAAAATTTTAAAAATTTTTCGGGTTATCGTTTTTTCGAAAAAAGTTCATCTCGAAAATCGGCCCTTCTTGCTCGACGAATAGTCGTAGAGAAACGAATCAGGGCTCATTTTTCCTCAAGAATTGTACTTTCATGGTTAAAAAAGAGTGATAACGATTTTATTAATTTCAAGTGTCCAAAGACGACTTTGAAACATTTTTTGATCGCGATCTTTTTTGATTTTCATTTCTCGATAATGTCTATTACTGGAATCGATTGCTGGCGTTTTAAATTTAAAAAAAAAGTTGCTCTACGATCTTCTGGAGCCGAGATAATTTTTTTATTTAAGCGCTACAGCGTTCATTCTTACAGAGATTGAAAATTGACCTCCAGACATCCAATTAGACGATGATTATTTTGACGCGTTTGAATCATTCATGAAATGAATTATGTGGACAAGTTGATTGCGTGAAAAATATAGAAAACGAAACCATGGAAGAAGAAAATGAATCACGATCGAGGGAATTGAAGAGAAGAGTTGAAACATGAGCTGTGAAAATAAAAAATGTAATCGACGAATATTTTTATACCACGTAATTTTCTGTACGATAATTAAACAAATATTTTGTAATATTTTTATAATAAAATGATATACTTAATTACCATAAAAACGTTGTACTTACTTTATTTCACAAACAATTATTAAATAATTATTGAAATGTTAATAAGAGGTGAGAGAATTTTAGACTAAAGGAAAATTACATTTTTCAAAGGTAGTTATACTTTTGAGACCGTCGTAAACGTCATATTTTGGTTTATCTCGTCGAGCTACCCCAGATTAAGTACAAAAGGATTTTTGTACGTGGTTTACAAGTTGAGATAATGAAGATTTTGAAAGAGCGCTTTTTACCGCGCGAATTCAGTATTCAGAGCGGCCGAGTAGCGTTACCCCCACTCCACCGCACGCTACAGGTGAGCTCGAATCCTTCGGTATGACGCACAATTAAAAATGCAGAAGTGGCTAAAATGAACCACAGTATTTGTTTTATTAAAAATATAAATATTCAACTTTAATCTCTGTAGGAATGGACGCTATAGCACTTAAATAGCGGCCTGTGGATTTTTTTGCAAAAAAATTATCTCGGCTCCAGAAGATCGTAGAGCAACGTTTTTTTTTTAAATTCGCATAAAAATGTCAGCAATCGATTTCTGTAATAGACATTATCGAGAAATGAAAATCGAAAAAGATATTCAAGAAAAACGCGACCAAAAAATTTTTACTTTTTTCAGTCATCTTTGGACACTTGAAATGAATAAAATCGTTATCACTCTTTTTTACCATGAAAGTACAACTCTTAAGGAAAAAATGAGCCCTGATTCGTTTCTCTACGACTATTCGTCGAGCAAGGAGAGCCAATTTTCGAGATGACCTTTTTTTTCGAAAAATCGATAAAACTCGAAAAATTTTTAATATTTTTTAATTTAAAAAAGGTACTTTTTTTTGCTCGCCAAGGGCTAAAAGTAACGTGGTAATCATATATTTAAAAATACGAATCGATAGGTCAAGGACATTTAAATATAGGCAACTAGGCATGTCACAGTCTATTTCATATGCTGAGTGAAGGGGAAAGCAGAGGGCTTTATTTTCATCCAACTGATGCGTGCGATTACATCTCCAATGTCGTACGTTTTGGAAGGGTCAAAATAAAATATTTTATAGTCCTAAGTCAATATATTTCAACAGCTACTCAGTATTTTTATAATATATATATATAATATTTTTATAACTTCTTGGAATCCCAATAACTGTAACCATTTCTTTCTTGTTGCACCATCCCCAAGCATCCTAAAAACGTTCACATTTCACTTTTAGAATACTGAGGCAAATTTTCAGTGAGACATAAAAATATATTCCCAAAGGAGAACATCAAATGGTTGAATGAATGCAACTTTCAGTTGATTGCATCTTCGGTATTTTTATGTATAAGTGAACCACCACCATATTTTTGCTGTTGTATTTATTCAGTTTTTATGCTCGTGCATTTAGTAAAATTGTAAATATATTTTTGAAAAGGTTTTTGTCGTAGAGGAAAATGAAAATGATGAATGATTAAAATTTGTAATGTTGGGTATAAGGGATAACATTGAAATACCTATAAATATATTAAATATAAATAATGTCTGTAACTTATTTGTGGTGCAGCATTTTCCTTTGATTTTAATGGCCAAACGTGGTTCATATTATTGTTTTCTTACTATTTCAGCAAAAATTTTAAAAAAATACCAAGTCAGTTTTATAAAATTTTACCGTTATTCAAATAAAAGTTACCCACACGCACGACAATGGCCACAGTTGCATATACATTCCAAAGTCACCTTCAAGCACGCTTACCTGTGGAAGGATAGCTGATGTGGATGTTTATAATCCAATTTCTTACAAATTCTGCACTGTCTAACCATATTCACACCTTAAAAGTTTATCCAAAATACATGTATAAACACTAATCACGTTTCACTTACTAAAATCACAACTATTTTCTAACAAGAGACGCCATATTCTGCCAACCACGGCAGAACGAACGAGGAACACGCTACAAATTATTGCGTAGTTGCCAAGTCTTCAAACATGGCAAATATGAAAAATGAAAAATAGTTTAATATGTACAGAATTTAACAATATTGTATGCATAACTTAATAATACTATCCTATAATAATAATTTTCACAATTGTGATGAAAATTGCGATAAAAATATTAAGTACATTTCCAGTATAATTATACAGCTGACAACAATGATACAATTAGACTGTGAATAGACCAGGCTTCATCTAGAAATGTAAATAAATAAGTCCCCTTTATTTAAATGTCCTTGNCAAAATAAAATATTTTATAGTCCTAAGTCGATATATTTCAACAGCTACTCAGTATTTTTATAATACATATAATATTTTTATAAATTCTTTGAATCCCAATAGCTGTAACCATTTCTTTCTTGTTGCACCATCCCCAGGCATCCTAAAAACATTCACATTTCACTTTTAGAACACCGAGGCAAACTTTCAGTGAGGCATAAAAATATATTCCCAAAGGAGAACATCAATATGGTTTAATGAATGCAACTTTCAGTTGATTGCATCTTCGGTATTTTTATGTATAAGTGAACCCACCACCATATTTTTGCTGTTGTAGAGGAAATTGAAAATGATGAATGATTCAAAATTGTAATGTTGGGTATAAGGGATAACATTGAAATACCTATAAATATATTAAATATAAATAATGTCTGTAACTTATTTGTGGTGCAGCATTTTCCTTTGATTTTAATGGACAAACATGGTTCATATTATTGTTTTCTTACTATCTCAGCAAAATTAAAAAAAAAAAATACCAAAAGTCAGTTTTACGACTATGGCCAGAATTGCATATACATTCCAAAGTCACCTTCAAGCACGCTTACCTGTGGAAGGATAGATGTGGATGTTTATAATCCAATTTCTTACAAATTCTGCACTGTCTAACCATATTCACACCTTAAAAGTTTATCCAAAATACATACCTATATAAAAACTAATCACGTGTCTACTCCAAAGGCTTAACATATTTGTAATTAATTCCTATTCATTTACGAACTCATTTGCCGATAAAAAGCATCTTTTGGTGGACTTGAATTGAGTCCATGAACTTTTGAAGGACGTATCAATAGGCTTTTGCATGCGCTTGAACCAATTTTCAATTGCGGTATGTACCTCCAGACATACATTTTGAGCGCATTAACTGCTTTGAAGTCGAAAAACGTCGACTTTAATTTATTTTTGATATGCGGGAAAAAAAGTCATTGGGTGACAAATAAGGGCTGTTAGGCGGATGACTCATCAATTCGACTTTTCCGTTCTCAAATAGTCGCTTGTTTGAGCCGATGTGTGAGAACCCTAGATAAGAAAAATATATATAGAAAATGAGAACTCGCATTGTCCTGATGGAGAATGATGCATCCTCGGTAGCTGGTTTCCCTTATTTTTGCGAAGACTACTGGCAAACAAATTGTGTACCATTTAGAATAATTGACGGTCCCATGTTACACTAATTACTAAACCAGGTCCGGTATTTTTGA